TAATATACCACGTACACGTGGTGTGCGTTCTGCGGCGCGCCCGTGCAAAGACCGTGGGCCTCGTCGCGCCGCCGGTGACCCCTACCGAATACGAAGTATGTGCGCGCGTATTTTGTGTTATTGTTATTTTTAAAGCGGCGGCGGTGGCGGCGTCGGGGCCCGTCCGCACAATTTCCGCATCTCCAGCTCCTTCACCGTCTCTCGCTCTGAACGACGTCTCTACTTCTCTATTTCACTGTTTCTCACTCTCTCACTCTCTCACTCTCTCTCGCTTCGTGTTTACATATATATATATATAATAATATAATGTATGTACGCGTACGATATTCATTATTCACCAGCTAGGCCACCGCCCGCAAAGTCCACCGGCTGTTATGCGTTATGCCCGAATATTCGATTCATTATATGACTTATAAATATTGTTGTGAGGCGGCCAGAAGGGGTTCTCTGCTCCCAGAAATAAGTTTTTTCCTCCCCTTCCGCGAGTGGTGTATAAATATACCTATCGCGCCACCGTCAAAAAGCCCCGAGCGCCCAAATCGGCGATGACTGATTAGAATGCCGTGCGTTTTCCCGTAAGTTCTGCGGCGTGCGACGCGTACACCTCCAACCGCGCACACAACGCGTCCGCTGCTTATTTATTAATAATAAATAATGATATTAGAATAATAATGATACACGTCACCCGTATTAAATTCTTATACCACCGACGGCCACGGTATAGGTAAACCACCTCGGCGGTTAGCCGTCAGTTTTGTCCTGGTGATCGCGACCGACTTTAGAAGACGCCAATGCGGGTTGCACGGTTGTGCTCGCCTTTTTCGCTATTCCAGAGGACCCAAGCAAACACCATGTATAGTTTACATGACGATATAGTAATTTTTTTTTTAAATACCACCAATACCCACCCCCCCCCAACCAAAAATAAGACAACAGATCTTTAAAGCGGATATGAGGAGGGGATGATCAACCCAATATTTTCAGAAATAATAATAAAGATACTACCATCATTTATTTAAGTATGTTAATCTATCATTTAACTTAAACATTTCGGCCAATTTTTTATGTTACATTTTTATATAGGGACAAACATAATATTATGATATTGTGATGATTTATTGGTATATTATATTAAAATAAGTGTTGTTAAATTCTTATAATCTAAAACTATTTTATTTGTATTAAGATCCCACACACTGCGGAGGTGGCGATTTCAGTAAAATGAGTCCGGACACAATTTACCAACCCCGATGTATTGTGTGGGGGAGGGGCCTTTAATCGTTTAATAAATTGCGCGTGGAAAATAAGTTTGTTTTTTTTTTAAATACCTACTTTTATACAACGAGTGGAAAGAGGCCTATAGCTACCGTCGATTTTCTGAACAAATTTACGGGGACCTATCGATTCCGCCAATGTAGCATCGATTCCGCCAGTATCGACTCCGCCAGTTCAGGTATTCTAAAAACAACCTATCGATTCCGCCACCCACCAATTTTTACCTCAACCTGCTGCAGCTGTCTATACCTAGCTATTTCTGTTATGATAATAATAATACATCTACAAAATAATTCAGCAATTAATTTAAATATTAAAAATAAATTAATAATTAATACATACAATATTAAATATACAAAAAAATACAAATAAAATTTGATAACATTTTATCATGTGTACCTACATTATATACATATTACATATATGATGTTGTCAAATGTCAAAAGTTGTACAATATTACTATTTGTTTATATACAATATATAATATACATACCTACACAAAACAAATATAGTTTTAAGTTGTACAGTATTATTTTTATAATGTGATGATGCCAAACTAATGAAATGCAAATGATTAATTTTTTTAGCTTCATAATTTATTAATAAATCTACCATTACGATTTACAATTGACTATAATAATTGTCGTTTGGGAGATTTATTTTTTCCCTGGCGGAATCGATAGGTTGTTTTTAGACTACCTGTACTGGAGGAATCGATGGTGGCGGAATCGATACACCTTATCCTCTAGTATAAAAAGGTCTGGCGGAATCGATGAAACCCCAAATTTACAGCCCCTCAAATTTAAAACTCGATTTATGTCTACGGGATACTCATTAAATGTATGATACGTGGTTGACACGTTTGATGATTTAAAAAAATATTTTATAATCATTTTGCATTTTTAAATTATCATATGGTACTATTGCTATACCTAATTAGCAGATATCCTACAATGACCTTCTTAATGTGTACAAACTATTTGTACGTGATTAGTGTAATAAAAGCTTAGCAAGAGTAAAGATTTCCAAGTAAGTGATATAATTTTTTTAACTATTACGAATAAGGATTTTATTAACATAGATATGTTTTTGGGCTGGGTACAAGTTTTTTTTCTAACCGATTTTTGCAAGATCGATTACACATTGTGTATTGCCATAGAAATTTACGTTTGTAAATCAACAATAACAATTTTTAATTTAAATTAAATTCCTAAAACATATCTATGATTCCTCAATTTTCATTGCAGAGGAAAAATATCTTAGAGCTACTAGTCATAGTCATGCTACTTTGATTTAAGCCCCGATACGTATGTCGTTCAAAATAAATATTGTTTTTAATATTGTTACCTAAATAAGTGGAAAACGCATTTATTCACGAATTTATTTAGCAATACACAACTGTGTACAACATACATAATATGAAACCATATAATACGAGTAATTGTAAAAAAATTAAATATAATAGTTAAGGACTATAGCTGATCATAACACTGAAACTGTGTAATTAAATATTTACCTTATCTTGTAAATTCATTTTTCGGTTTCTTTCATGATTTACCAAATTGATTTTTATTGTAATCTTGTTTACAAACAATTGCATGACCTATGCCTTCCGTGTTGAATAACGTACTTCTTAAATAGTTAAATGTACAGAATTAAAATAAATTGTTGTCAACATTTATAAACTATAAATTTAAATACAAACATTTGCATACAACAATTGCATAGATTTTCAATTATATAAACATACTTTGTCAAAATATAATATTTTAATTCCAATTTATTTTTGCGGTATATTAAAATATATTATGATAATAACGACTAACACAATAACAATTTGGTTTCATTCAACATTTCTGGAAATAATTTTATATTACATAATAATGATACTATAGATTATACATAAAAGTAAGATAAAATAAGAATAGTACAATAAAAATGTTTATATAGTGTATTTAAAAATATGTTTCTATTTTAATTTTTGTATGTGTAATTAGTTCATAAAATGATGTTAAAAATGATGTTGAATGTTCCTGAAAAATTATCATTATTTACAAAATTCGATATCCATAATCTTTACTATAATATAATATAATATAGCTATTAACTATAATATTGTACAAACCGACAGAAGTCATAATATATGTCTTATTTAATTCAAAATAGAAGTGTCAAAATGTATAAATAGATACTACGATCATTAGATAAAAAATATTTAGTATGTACATATGTAATATTAGTATGTATAATACTACAATATTATTAGGTATATAACTGATCTAAACTAAGTATTCAATACATTATAATAAGACAAACTAAACGCAAGAAAACAAAAAAGTATTTGGTTACAAACGTTCATTAATATTCAATACGATGTATTTTGTTAGGACACAATTTTATTATTAAATTCGATATTTTATTAAAAAATGCTAATAGAAACGGCAATAATCGTAACTGTGATAGTATAAAAATGATCATGTTCCTATTTTCTATGTGGGACTTTAATTCGCACTAGGAACTTATTTTAAAACAGTTGTATTGTTTGTCTTATGTCTGTGTCTATATGGAATTTTTAACAATCGGCATTCTTAATAAAAATGATAAAACGAAAGATTCATCATTGATTCCTATTTTTTTTTTAAGTGGGTTTTTGTTTTTATTTTATAGTATGTACCTATTAATACGATTTGGATTTCAGATCGTTAATTCTTAGTTATTACTAACCTTGGATTTTAAAACAATGTTATTAAATCATCGGTTCTAATGTTTTATTATTATTTTTTTATCTAGAAGCACACACAATTATACGTCGTCGGCGAACAGCAATTATTTTCTACTTAAGTCTGAGACCTGAGTAGACGGTTTACGTAAAAACTAAGTTTTGAATTTATTGCCACTAAATCGATTGTCATTGCTCGTTATGTCCGGGTATGTCCGGGCTATATATAGGCCTACATATTCAGCAGTTTTTTTTTTATTTCTAGACCGTAAATTGCAATATATAGTTCAAAACACCGTTGTGGCGAAATTCAAGTATGTGAAATTGGTTTTCGAAGCAAGATAATAACTAATAAGTTATAACTGATAAACCAATAAGTCGTAATAAGTAATAACTGTGAAATCGGATAAACAATTTATTCTCGTTTGAACTCGTTGCAATTTAATGATTGAACTTCATACAAAATAAAATAACATATTATGGCACGTTTTATACTTAATATACGTAATTTTAATAACTACCTACATAATAACATGTCGAAATGTTCAATACACGTATTCGCACTATTCGCACTATCTTATTGTTGTATTTATTTTTTGATTTACAAACTTGCTCATTGTAAATTCGTCAAAATTATACTAAAATCTTAATTTATATCATCAGTGTTAATCGTTGTTAATTATTAATTTTGCAATTTGTGTAC